TGGCCCCCGCCGCGCGGAGGTCGGGGGAGCGGCCAGTTCGGATGTGGAATCTGAACCCTCGGTGGGGACGCCGCCGCGCTTCCCAAGCGGCGCACTGTAGCAGTGCGCCACCGGGCCGGCCCAGAAAGCTGAGTTTTCTAAGGCTGGCAGTCTCACAGACCCTCTGCAGACATCCTCAGGGCTCACTAGCTGGATGGTCAATGGGAAGCAGATGTCCCATATCTTTTCTCTGCCATCCTTCTTAGGTGGAGCTCTGGCACCACAGGACTGAGGCAAGATACTCTTAAAAAATTGACCCTTGAGCAACTCGAAGGTTAGGGGTGCCGACCCCCAGCACAGTCATAAATCTGTCTATAACTTTTGACTTCCCCAAAATTTTACTACTATTTTTGACTAGAAGTCTTACCGATAACACAGTCAGTTAACACATGTATTATATGTTAAATGTATTATATACTGTATTTTTACAATAAAGTAAGCTAGAGAAAATGTTTACATTTCTCTTGACTGTGAATGGCATCTGTGTTTGTGTGCATAAGTTCCGATAAATTTTAACTTTTTATAATACATTTGTATATATGTTATGGCAGTAAATGATACAATAAACTACTACCTACATGTATTTTATACATTCATGACATGCCTAACTTTTTCTTAATTTTTTCGATATTTCTAGGCTACTCAGTTTATCTGTTTTTTCAAATTGTCACAAATCCCCCCAAATTTTCCAATATATTTATTGAAAAAATCCACATATAAGGGAAACCACACAGTTCAAACCCATGTTGTTCAAGGATCAACTATATTTTCTTTGAGAGGAATCTAAGGGAGAGTGGAAAGGATGCCAGAAAAAACCTAAGAGTGATATATACAAAGATTACTAACATTTTACAAGCTTAAAAAAATCAAAGTAGAAAGTTACATACAGCTATACCTGGACAATTAATTTTTGTTTTATATTTGAGTTTGTATTGGTAAATGATGCTTATGAGTATATGGTAAACATGTCTATTATAACTAAAAAAAAAATAACCATACAATGACAAACCTGAATGAAAAACTAAAAAGCAAGTTCACAATGTCTCCCTTAGAACTAGGTAGAAGTATAATCACCATGTTCACCACAGTTAAGAACATCATTTATATGCAAAGGACAAGAGTGTGGTGGAAAGGGGCACTCCCTGAAATGCAATCCATTGTGCTGCTCTGTGCACTGCAGGGGCCACCAAGAGATGCCGAAGCAGAGACTGGAGATTTTGAGAAGCAAAAACCAAGAGAACCAAAATTTACTGCAAGTAGCATAAAGATATAACGGATGCTACAGGGTTCAAAAAGTTCTTTCATAAAAGCTAGACCTTTCATTTTTTAAAATCTAGAAGTTTAAGTTAAAATACAGAAATACCCTCATTGAGTTTGGTAACTTTAGAGGCATAATTTAAATAATCTTGAGCAAACTGTAAAATCTGTTCAACTTAGTTGAAATGTATTAATGTTTTCTAAGTAAATTCAGGTCAACAAATGAAAAAGTATAAGTAGCAACAGTTCACCAAGATCAAGGGTTCGTATCCCCTACGGGCCAGCCACCAATAAATAGATAGATAAAAGCGACAGTATTCTGATTTAGTCAAACAGGACTGTTTGAGAAGACAGCAACAATGGACTTAAAGTTGAGACGTTTCTTCCCTTGATATTTTTAGGTACCAGATTACTTCAACACTCAGTCTCTACAATGCAGATCTTTAAAAGTAATCAATAAAGTCACTTAAGAGAAACTAATTTTAATTAAAATAGCAAAGAAAACAGGAAAAAACAGCACTGTGCATGTCATAATATCACTTAACATCTATATAATTATTTGCATAGGTTTACAAAGTACTTTTACATACTTAATTTATTTCCTCCTCAATGACAATGAATATTTATTATCTATCTACATTTTATTAATAAAGATACTGGCTCCTGATAAGATTTAGTGACTTAAACTAACTTTTAAACAGCTCTAAACAGCAAAACCCAACCATGCACCAGGACAGGGGTCCTTAAATTACACCAAATTGCCTCTTAGTTTATGAAAAAAGTGTTATCAACATTATGTTCATACTAGAAGTTTACAAACCTTATCAATTACTTTATTATATAAATCATTATTCAGAAATAGAGTTATATTAGATGGAAACCAGAAAGCCCCTACAATTAGTTTATCATACCAATACTTACTAGGAATAGTAGTAACGACTTCTCCAACCTGTAATCTGTACAAAATTGTGGTTTTTCCTGCTCCATCTAATCCCAAAATTAAAATCCTCATTTCCCGGGTTCCAAACAGACTGGAAAAAATACTTGAGAAAAAGCCACCTAAAAAAATAATAAAAGCAAAAATGTATTCAATATCATTTTGTGAACTAGGTCCTCAAAACATTTAATCTTGCCCTTTGAAAGCTATATACCCAGCCAGCTGCCATTAAAACACACACACACACACACACACACACACACACACACGCACCAAATTAAATAGGATTATATTTTCTTGGATGCATAGGTACATATTTTTGCTCCCAATTAAGTATATTATTCAACATTAAAAGAGTGATGTTACTATGTCCTAAATACTGCCATCAGGCAGGCATAGAAGATACACTAAATAAGAGAAATATGGCCGCTGTCCTCATGGAGCTCATTTTCTAATCAACGAAATACGAGTACCCTAGCATGATCTCCTCATTACCTCTAAAAACCAAAGAGCCAGTCAGTAGCACAGTGGGAGGAGGTCCTCGCACATGAAAAGCAATAATTATTGTTGTACAGCAGCAGTACCACTATAACTACCTTCAATCATTGAGAGTTCTCCACTAAGCAACACAACTAGTACAAGAAATTGAGACACAGAAGCCGAAAACAAAAACGACTTTTGATAGAAAACTCGTTTTAAAAAATTAAGCTACATCCAATGCATCACGAAATAATTCCAGAAAACTTCCCTTACCCAACGTACCGTGTAATATAAAGGCACTTGTGGCACAGTCCCTTTCCCATCAAAAGCCGTTAGTGAACATTAAAAGAGAGTTACATGAAGAATATTAAATTTAAAAAAACCAAACAAACCCGCAACCGTTGACAACAGGAGTGATGACACAATTGGTTATTTGATAAAAAGATAGTACAACTAAGAGCTGCGAGTCTGAAAAAATGAACACACCATGGACTAGAGAACGCTGGGAAAATTAAACAGAACGGGTGTGACCTGACAAAGTTCCACCATTTACAGGTAGAGAAGAGGCGGAAGAACAAAACTGAACGGGGTATGGAACACAGGACAGCGCTCGTGGTTCTCGGAAGCAAGAAGTATACACTCCAGAAAACTGTGGAGGAAATTAAGCAAGCCAAAGAATGTGCATCTCCGTGTGCAGGGTGATAAATTAAAGAACGTGCACCTTCCTCTGGGCCCTAGAGAGGCAGGGGCGTTTCCAGGTGCTGCTTGTCGTGACTGCATAGTTCCCTCAATAAGAAAGACTAAAATGTCATCCACTGACTAGTCATACCCTCCCCACCTCCTTCTTCAACCTACTCTGTCACCTACATGAAAAGCTACCACGGGTAAGCAGACAAATGCCAAATTGGCTATAACATCACAAGCAACACCTTCTCTCGCATTTTTGAGCTGACGCAGTCCCCGCTCCCTGGGAGGGACAGTCCAGCTTCCACTATGGGGCCGGAGCTCATCTTTCAGCCGACAAACCTCAGCGAACCTGCGACGGACACGCTGCCAGGCTTCGCATGACCAGCTCTGCCCAGCAAGTCGGGCTGCATGTGAGGGAGGTTCATGATCAGGGGCAAGGGCTCGAGGCCGGGCTCTGTGGCTGCTCCCGGCCGCCAACCCCACGAGGCTGAAGGGGACCCGGGCAGGAGCGGAGGAGGACGCGCGAGGCCGGGCCCACCCCACAGGTGGAGACCCTCGGCCGCAGCCCCCTCGGACACCTTCTCGGACCCCTCACCCATGGTGAACCGCGTGTCTGCCCTCGCCGATCCTCAGAGACTGGCTCGGCAGCGACCACCGTCCGCGCCTCGGCGCCGCCACCTCCGCGCGAGTTGGCCTGCGGCTGAGGCTACGAGGCGGTTCGCTCCCAAGCCCGGTCAGCCAGCGACTTCCACGTCGGATTCCCGGCGGGGCGGGGCGGGGTGGGGGCGGGAGCGAGCGGCCGGCGCGACGGCGCGCTGGGAACGGCGGCCTGAGCGTCCGCGTCGTCGCTTTCGGCGCCAGGCCGTGGTGGGCTGTGTGTATACGTTGTGGACGCCAGAAGAGAAAAAAATTCAGAGAGTCGAAGTCTCTCCTTGCTTCTGCTTTCCTGGATAGAAAGCGCTCCTGAAGCAGAGAAATTCGAATTTTTATTTTAAATTCTGACATGAAAAAGTGGCGAATCCACCAACGAAGAACGCGTGTCGGGCCTCCACGAGGCGGCCCGTCAGGACGCCGGCGCAGGCTGAGGCATCGTAGGAGGTGCACGTCCTGCTGCTCCCTTCGCGGGTGACCTGCCTCTGCCCAGGTGCTTTCTCCGAGGAGGAAATAAGACGACGTAATAATGATAACAGGCAGATCCCTGCGCCACCAATGCGGAGCAGCCTTACACCTGAGGCTGCTGACTGGGGGTGGCCTGCGGGGCCAGCGTTAGATCCCCTCTCCCCTTCACCACCTAACTCTGGGCACCTGACCACCTTTCCCGAGTCAGCAGTGTGGACGACTGGTCCGGATCTGGGGACCGGGGACTTGTTCCCTCGAGGGGCATCGGCTGGAAGTAATGTAGGTTTTGACAGTAAAGTGTGTTGGGAGGAGAAATGAAGCGCACCTGGAGGGTGGGGAGAAGGGATTCCCCTAAACTTATTTTTTAAAGGCCGAACGTGTGCCTCTTGATCCTAAAGGTACATAGAAAAATAAACCTGTCACTAACGCCAAACCCCCAGTTCTCCCAAGAAGCGACCACTGTTAACGCTTTCTTCTAAATGTAATCTTCGCATATTATGTTTTTATTTCTAAGAGAGATTTTATCCAATCAACAAGTTTATGAACTGGGGTGTTTTGTTTTAATTTTTCAGCTTTATTGAGGTACAGTTGACAAAAATTGTATATATTTACAGTGTGCAACTTGATGGATATATATATACACATTGTGAAGTGATTACCCCAGTCAAGCTAGTTAACATATTCATCACACCTCATAATATATATATATGTATATATACACATTGTGAAGTGATTACCCCAGTCAAGCTAGTTAACATATTCATCACACCTCATAATATATATATATGTATATATACACATTGTGAAGTGATTACCCCAGTCAAGCTAGTTAACATATTCATCACACCTCACATAGGTTTGTGGTTTTTGGTGAGAAAATTTAAGAGCTACTCCGTTAGCAGTTTTCAAGTGTACAATACGTTGTTAGTAACTAGTCACCATGCTGTACAGTAGATCTCCAGAATTTATTCATCCTAACTGAAACTTGGTACTCTTGACCAACATCTCTCCATCCCTGCACCCTCCGGTCCCTGGCAATGACAGTTCTACTCTCTACTAATATGAGTTCAGCTTTTGTAGATTCTACGTATAAGTGAGATCATTTTTTTTTTTTTTTTTTGTGCCTGGTTTATTTCACTTAGTATAACGTCTTCCAAGTGCATACATGTTGTCTCAAATGACAGGATTTCCTTTTTTAAGGATGAATAGTATTCCATTGTGTATTATATCACATTTTCCTTATTCTTCTGTCAATTCACTCTTAGGTTAATTCTGTATCTTGGATATTGTGAATAATGTTGCAGTGAACTCTGGAACGCAGATATTTCTTTGACATACTGGTTTCATTTTCTTTGAATATATACCCAGAGGTGGGATCATATGGTAGTTCTATTTTTAGTTTCTTTGAGGAACCTCCATACTGTTTTCCCTAATGGCTGCACCTACTTGCATCCTAACCAACAGTGCCTTTTTTTGTTTTTTACTTAAATTGGCAGGTCTTTTCAACTACCTAGGCATTGAACTAGATTTGCTCCCACCCTTGCCCCCAAAACCATAGGTTCACAGAAATTTTCTTTGCCAAGGAAAAGTCTTGTTTTGTTTTTTATTTCTGTTTTGTTGTCTGAGAAGGGAAGAGTGACTCTTTCCCTAAACACCTGAATCTTTTTAAGGCTATCGTTTATAAGTGTTGTGTTGTCCAACCATTGGTCCTCAGCATGCTTATGATTCCACGGACCTTTCTCCTGTATTCTTCATCCACCTCCCCTTCTCCAAGATCAGTTGCTGCCACTTGGCAGATTTTGGTCTTTGCTACTTCAGATTTATGTCCATGTTAGATTTATGTTTGAATACAATGCACAGAGTTTCTGAAAATACAGATACCCATTAAAAAGAGAACTAAAAGGAAAAATACAAGTGTGCTGTAGCAAATTTTATATTCAGACTGCATATTCTGAATCAAACAACCAAATGAAATATATGTCAGGATGCTTTGTTAACTGAAGTGTTATATACAAATTAAAATGTGTTAATATTGACTTATGTTGCATTTCACCCTTTCATTATATATATTAAGCACCTAACTACAAATCAATATGGAAACAATGTGATAAAGACTAAACAAAAACCCATTAAGCAATTTGCCAAAAACTTTATTTTTCAAAATTTACCCATTTAATGCTTTGCTTTGTTAGTAAAGATCCGGTCTAATTCCCTTCGATGCATTAAAGACAAAGCAAGGCTGGCCGGTTAGCTTAGTTGGCTAGAACTCAGTGTTGTAACCCTAAGGTCAAGGGTCAAATCCCTTTACTGGCCAGCTGCTAAAAAAAAGAGAGACAAAACAAAAATCCTTTTATTCATAGAAACTTATGATCTAAAGAAAAGTTCCGAAATGTTAAGATAGGGTGTTACCCTTCTTCTGAATTAAGCTTAGGACAAATAAAATAATTTTCTTCTGACGACTTACCATGTTCAAGGCCTTAATGCTAGCTCTATGAAGTATGTGAAAGTAGTTCCTACTAATATAACTTAGAGGAACTCATTAACTCAAGGATGTCAAAACAAAATTAAAATGGCTTCAAAAAATATTGAGATATTAAAAAAGATTTAATGAGCTAACACACATGAAATATGTAAAATAGTTCTCAGCACATAATAAATATCCATTAAAAGTTTTTTGAAAGTGTTGAGACTAATTTATAATTAACAAAGCCATAAATAGCCAAGAGAAACTTAGCTAGTCTTCATTGGTGATAACATCCCACCTCCACCCAACCGTAGCTTTTCTCAATTTGTAAGACCAGAGCAAAGTTCTTACTTCTATAGGACCACAATTTTCAGTGCATAAACGTTATGTTAAGGTGTTGAAAAATAGCATAACAAAACTGTCATTTCCTGTATATTTTCTGATTCTAACTAAAGACATCCATTACTCTGTAGGACAGGTACATATCTTTAGGGTGAAGTTGCTTTTCAAAATGTAGTCATTTTTATTAATATTGATTTGATATTACAGGTTTCTGCTTTTTAAAAAGAAATCTTTGAGGAAGTAGAATTGTAGCATTATTCTAGAATTAAAACTAAATATTTAGATTGAGAATTGTTGGAATTTTGTTCTTCAGACACCATATAGAATTGATCTCACCTCTTTCGAGTCCTTGCTCAAAGTCATCCTATTTAAAATTGCAAACTACCCCACATGCCCCCATCCTGATTTTTTATACAACTTGTTACCAAATGTATTATAATTTACTTGCCTATTATGTTTATTATTTATTGCCTTACATTCACTAGAATGTAAGATCTATGAATGCAAATATTTTTGTCTATTTTGTTCACTGTTTTATTCTTGCACATAGGCACTAAATGAGGGCCAGCCCGTGGCTCACTTGGGAGAGTGTGGTGCTGATGGCACCAAGGCCATGGGTTCGGATCCCTAGGTAGGGATGGCCGATTGGCTCACTTCGGAGAGCATAGTGCTGACAACACCAAGCCAGGGGTCAAGATCCCCTTACCAGTCATCTTTGTAAAAAAATAAATAAATAAATTATAAAATAAGTTTTTGAGGCCAAAAACTTATATTATAGTTTAATTCTTAGCTTAAACATATATTCTGCAATATCATTAAGCTTGTTTTCTGAAGTTGTGACTTGTCTAAATTTGATAGAAGAGGCCGAACTATTATCTTCAAGGAAGTTGTCATATATGAAGAGAAGCCACCAGGTGGTGGTGTTGCTTCAGACTAATTCTTATTAGAACCAAGTTAACTGGTCATTTAAAAGCTAAGTGGACAATTTAATCCTTTTCAGATCTGATGGTCCAATAATAATTTACTAAATTATTTTAAATGAATGTTTCAATGCAGTTTAAGAAAATAAAACAAGTACAAAATCCTTTTGACTATAAAGCCACAATAAGATCAAATAAGTTCTGAATTTTAAATCTAGAAGGAATCTCAATTCCAACCACCTCAATTACAGATTAAAAAAAGTAGAAACAAGCTAGACAATAAAGCCAAAACAGCAATCTTGATATTTGACTTCCAGGCCTGGAACAATTAGACTATGATGCTTTCTGTTACTGAGCCATGATCTATACATTTGATAAACTGATTTCCAAATACATGACCATGTCTTTTTTTTTTTTTTTCCTTTTTGTCTTTTTTCGTGACCAGTAACGGGATCACAACCCTCGGTGTCGCTCCCGCACCACGCTCAACCAGTGAGCGGACTGGTCTCTATATGGGATCCGAACCCTCGGCGGGAGCGCCGCCATGCTCCCAAGCGCCGCACTCTACCGAGTGCGCCACCGGGCCGGCCCATGACCATGTCTTAAGAATCTGTAGTTTCCAAAGTTAGAAACTCAACATTTCTGTGTTTCATTGCCTAGTGGAAGTTACATTCTTTTGTTCAGATTTTATTCTGCAAAGAAGAAATCTATAAAATATAAATATATAAGTATAATAAATATAAGCTTCAGGAGGGCTTATCATGATGTGTGTTTATAATGGTATTTTAATCTTAAGAGCAATTTGAGATCATAACTAGGTGTGTGATTTTCACAAATCAAGATAAGTATTGTATTTCAAATATGTTTTCTTTTAGTAAGATGTATTTTGCCAACAGAGCAGAATTTCTCT